ATAAAGTTAAAAGATAAGAGTCTAAAAATGTAACTAGATAAAGTTAAAATTATTTAACTTTTTAACTTTTTAACTTAACTTTTATCTTTTTAACTAGACACTACCCAACCTTGATTTTAGACGTATGTGTTACATAGTCAATAGCAGATTAAAAAATATGACAAGTAGATNTTTATGATAATAAAATAAAATGACTTTTGCAATTAAAGGTAATGCTACTGTTAAATGGGTAAAGAGTCAATGGAAAGATCTACAAGATGCGTACGTAAAAGCAAGGAAAAAAATAAAAGCATATGTTCCAAGTGGATCCGACACAGCTTCTGCAAAAAAATTGAGGCAAACTTCTTTTCGCTTTTTTGAACAGATGCAGTTTTTGGAAATAACATTAGCCACAGAAACGTAAGCAACATTTGCATAATAATGCATATAATAATTTATATAATAATAATAAATAATACAGCAATTTTTTGACATATGTAATTAAATATATATGTTATTTTATTTATTTAGCACCATCAACTCTTTATCATTTGAACCAGCATTACTGCCTAGTACGTCAGCATCAGATCATTCTTTATTTGACAGCAACTGTCCTGATTCGATAATCAATTTAGACGTGAGTTTACCCGAAACATCACAACAGTCAACAACGTCAAAACTGACGCACAACGAACCGATATCTGCATCTTATCTTTTTCCTTCAAATACGGTTGCATCAAATGCCAATTCATCAAGTGTATCAAAGAATAAACGAAGTAATTCACAATATGAAGTAATTTATTTGCTTAATATTTATCTGATAGAAACTATATCTTATTTTTGTTTTTATAGAGCGTTTTAATAGTACTGAAAACAAAAAGAAGATACAGGAAAGCTTATTAGAAGCTTTATATCACCCATTAAAGCAGTCAGATCCAATCGACGGAATATTGCTTAGATTAGGTGAAGGTCTTCGTCGTTTACCTTTCCGAAAAAGAACTCAATTAGAAATTCTATGGTTACGCAAACTTATGGCAGTTGAAGAACGATGTTCTAATAACTAATGAATTAGATAACTTGGTTTATTTATTATTTTGTTTATTTTTAAATTTTTATACAGTTGATCCGTTACTATACAGTTACTATGTAGTATTATATAGTTTATTGTAATTTTATTTTATGATTGCACTGAATCTAATTAAGTTATTTGTAAATTGTGCAATATGTAAATGTTTAATTATAGATAAAGTCGTGCTAAAGTTTATGTAAATGTTTTTGATTATCTGTTTTTTACATTAATCATTATATTTAAAAATTATTATTAAGCATTTTATCTCATTGCCAGGACAACGCGCTAATATCATTTAAAAAATTTGTAAAATCTTCTCCAATTTTTCTAGCTGTAGCAGAATTAGAAAAGCGATCTTTCAATAGATTTCTCAAACCATCAGATATTATTGCTTGGTCTTGTGCAGTAAAATTTGAATAATGTGTTTGTGTCACATTTGAATTTCTTTCGATAATTATTATATAATTATGTAAAGCAGTTGTCGCCTGAATAATCTTTCGAATTGTAGACACAGAACCCAGATAGCAAGCACACGTCATTTTGACGTTTCAAATTTGTCATTTTTGGTCATATATCGTCAAAATGACCAATTTTAGTACGTCTTTTACATGACTTTTGATTGACGTCATGATGTTACGTCATTATGATGTCATATTGCTGTCATAAAACTGACGAGTATATTTTATTATTGATGTAATTATACGTATTACGATATAATGTAATTATACGTTGTGACGTGGTGTTCGCGCCGCTTCCCCCCTTGCCACAAAAGGTATCTTCCGAGGGAGTCCCGAAGTGTGGGCTGGTCTTAAGCGCCAGGATCCTCCAGGGCTTGCACACCGTATTACGTTTTAGTTACTTATTTCTTTTGTTTGTATTCTTTTTTTTATAATATGTAAAATTGGCGCCTCACCACCCGAGGGCTCACCCCGCCGAAGGACATCGAGGGAGACGAGTGGACAGGAAATCTAGCGAGGAATAAGGCGCGAACCAGAACCCAGGG